CCATCCTGCTCCCAGGGATGCCAGCCCCGCCCGCCTCTCTAGCCTCATCCCCGGCGAGTGCATGATGTTCCTGCCACACCAGTTGGCTTCGAGCTCTTTGCTGTTCCAAACCCCATCCCACTTGAAGATTTTACACAGCTGCCCCCTGGGAATTCTTTCCCTACCGCTCCATTCGGAGAACAAACAGCTCCTGCTCTGAGTAAGTTCACATACTCTATTATTCCTGCATCAGACTTCCTCATACACAGATACCCTCTTTGTTTACCCTCCCCAAGGTTGGCCAGCAGCCTGTGGCACGGCCTGAATGGGAAGCTCTGCTTCAACGGGAACACACAGCTTAATGGAGACAATGCGTTCACTGGCGTAGGGATCCAAGCTGGAGATGCAGGGAGCGAGGAAGTCCCTTGGGAGCCACATGAAGAAACAGAAAGACACCCAAAGGAGGCAGGCAAGCAGAGGCCACTAAGCAGCAGGAGCCACGAGACCCCAGACTTGGCAGAAGATTGGAGAAAGCAGTGGTTATATGTGAGCAGAAATTGTGGGTAAGGGTGGTGACAGGACAGCTGAGACAGCAGAAAAGGGAGCAAATGATACAGGCTCGGTTTATTTCTACAGTGAGAGGGGCTGTAAACACAGCAGCCGGCACATCCACATCGCAGGAGATAATCTCTGACCTCTTCGTATCCAGCTGCAACTGGACACCACGCAGAAAAGCAAGACAGGATGTGCTGCGTGGAAGACAGGCAGCCTTAAAAACGAGATGGGCTTGGATGAGCTCTTTATTGGGCTAAAGGTGCCAGAAAGGTGAAAAGGAAGGGAGTTGCTCTCTAGATAGAACAAGATTAGTTCTCGTCTGGTGTATTGACTGGGTCAACTGACATTCAATAGAACGACCTCTCTCACTCCTCCCCCTCTGCCTCTCAAGCCTTTGAAAACTTACCTTATCCAAAAAGCTGATTCTGCTTCCGCCGGGGAAGTTCTCAATGCCATCAGTTTGGAACACCGAGGCAGCAAAGGTGAAATCCTTTGGAACCACTGAGGTATGACATGCAGGGACATAGCCTACCACTTGGGGGCAGTATGATACATAGAGCGTGAGGGCTGGGGTAACCAGGATGTTCATTTCAGCCTAAATTGGAAATCACAGGCCTGGCTTTTCCCTGGTTAAAAAAAAAAAATCTCAGTTGAATGAGAATTTAAAGGCATGTTACCCAGCTCCTTTGAGAGATTAAAATTCTTTACATGTGCACTACAGACAGACAGACACACAGGCACACAGGCAACTGCGCTAGTCACCTGCCCAAAGTGAAATGTGCTTCTTTTATTTAAAAGGCGATGTTTTCTGTGGATGTTTGGCTGCATGTTTGAGAGGAAAATCCCTACCAAGTAAACTCCAGGCTCAGTTCAGTTGCTCTCCGGAGGAAATCGCGGGGAGATGCTTTGGGAACTCAAGGCGAACTTGAGCTCTGTCAAGGTGGACACTTCTATGCTTCACTTGCCGGGGCGCAGATTCCTCTTTAACGGGTGGCTGCCTGCAGCACCAGAGTGCGTCCTCCCTGGAGTGCTTGTCCCTTATTCCTCTCATGCCTTTCTCCCACACCACAGATGGCGTTTCCTTCCTTTCAGCCCACCATCCCCCGTACCCGCTTAAAAAATCTGTGACTAAACGCTGCTGTGACGCATTTGCCTGTGTCCTCACTAGACTGTCAGCCCTATATTCTGGGAAGGGCATCTTTTTTTTTTTAATTCCCAGTGACTAGCACAATGCCTGACACATAGTAGGAACACATGTTTGGATCTTGGTTGAATGAGTGAATGAATTATTCATCTTTGCATCCTATGCACAGTGTTCAAATATTCTAGGTACACAATAGACTTGCATCACATAACTCTTATTGCAGAGCATATAGGTGACCCAGCTTTCTAAGTTAGGCCCTTTGAAGTCACTTACAGTGTCTTACCTTTGCATGTGTTTGAAACGCGTCCTTTTCTTTTAGAAAACTTAGAAGGGAACTTGGATATCAAAGAGTAAAAAGTGGATGCCCCATTCCTTCAACTCCCCACAGGCCCCAGGGCTCCTGCGGTGGGTTTGTCTCCAACAGCCTCCCTGAGCCTGTCCCCAGGCAGGGGGAGCTGAGGGGCAGTGAGACATGCAACTGGTGGCCGTGGCGTAGGGTTTCCATGATTGGAGAGGAGGCCGCAGTGGAGGAGCCGGGCTCATGACCTGGCATGGGGAGCGGAAACCAGCCTGCATCATAAAGGCAGCCAGCTCACTCCTTACCCAGCTCCTGTGAGACAAAAATTCCTCCCACACAACCTAACATGTTCTAGCCCATTCTGTGACCCCTACCAAGTCCCCCTCTGCAGATCCTGTCTGCTTATGATGCAGGAACTGGCGAAGTAAGAGCAGCAAGACCATCACTTCCCGCACTGACACCCAGTACGACCACGGTCTTTCGCCTATAACCTCTTGGCAATGGAATCATCCAAATAAACAAAAGCAATTATTTCCCAATAGTAACAAAGCAGAGGGTAAAATCTGACTCAGTGCTTCTTCATCTGGGAAGAAATCAAGGACATAATTCAAGTCCCTGGGCACCTATCAGGGCTCTGTGATGGCATGTAGTCTCTGTAAGTCTTAATGTCTTTGTGTGGGCAACTATCTAACTCCCAGATTGAGAGCAGCTCAGAGAAGGGACAGGGCCTCCTTCTTCTTTGTGTCCCTGATCCCAGGACAATAGGAGGCACATAGTGACCATGCAACACATGTCTGTCCTTTGCGGTCCAGCTGGGCCACAGACTAACTGAACTACCTTGGGCACGTTCCTCAACCTCTCTGGGCTTTGGCTTTCTCATCAGAACAAAGAGTAAACTGGTGGAAAGCAAAGGTTTAAGAAGAGTTCAGAAAAAATGACAACTGCTGCACTATCTCACAGCCCCAGAGGGCTGGCTGGTGCATTGGACAGGCCTCAAGTGGCAATTGTCATGTTTGGGGCACACATTGTCCTACAATGAAAGGACCATAGGGCCTCACTGGTGTGATTCTCAGAGCCAAGTAAGGCCAGCTCCAGGGGAAGAAACCCTCACCGTGTGGCTGCCTGGTTCTCTGCTGCCTCCCCCTCCACTATGACTTTAACTGCACTTCCAAGTGGACCCTTTCATCTTGCTAACTACCTTGGGAGTCAGTGAGTGTCCCCAGGGCGCTTCATGGGAGAGGACTGGCAATAATCATCGAGGGGATGGTGGAAATGATGAAGCTGGGCTGGGGAAGGAGCAGCAGGACTGTCTCAGCCATGGCTTCAAAGTGGAGAGCGGAAGCGTTGCCTTCCACGTGCATCCCTTAGCATTCTACACAAAGAACGAGGCCCATCTTGGATGCAGAACTGACACAGGCAGGAATCATAATAAGCTGCGAGATGAGCCAACCCAGTAGAAATGACACAGAATGCCCTTTCTTTGTTCCCTGTTTAATTCCATCGGAGCAAAACCTCATGGAAAGAGGAGGCGTGTATGAGGCCGGCTTCGCATGGTCACTGAGCGTGGGGACTTTTGGGACCTGAAGGCTCTGGGTCAGGCACTGTCACATCAGTTGGCTGGTCCCTAAGTTGGCTGATCCATGTCTTGGTCACCCCCTTCCTAACTCCTAAACTACCACTAAGATGTTCTTCCCTTCTCCTCCCCTTCTCTTCATGATTACGGCTCACAGCACTTGGCCTTCTCTGCATGGTGAATACTCATAAGGAAAGCTTGTCATGTGACGCATCTCTCTCTCATTCTACAGGCTTCCCCACAGGATTTCTTGGCAAAGCAGACAGCATTGTTGGGGGGCTGAGGATATTGATCCAATCCTGCTGTGATTAACCCAGTTCCTACATGGCCCCGGCTGTGGAACAGGAGGTTGTGTGGAATAATCAGGCCAAGGAGGGTGACACGCAGAGGACACTAGATTCAGGAGACCCATGTTGAGCTGTAGTTGCACGACCAGACGATTCCATAACCATTCTCAGTCTCAGGTCACTGCCTGGGGAAAGAGCCCCAAACCTGTCACCTTTGCCATGTGTTGTGTGGATCAAGTGAAATCGTGTGGTTGGGAGTGAGGGGAATGACAGCAGAGCCCTCTCCCAATGCCTGTTCAGTCAGTGCTTTCTCAAATTAAACACAAAAATTAATGATTTCAAGGGCGTCCGGTTCTCCTGTTGATATTGGCTGAGGTGGGAAGGGATGCGGGGCAGTCAGGAGTGGACCTCTTTGATGGGAGCTTCTCTAACCTTGACAGTGAGCGCCTCGTAGATGTGTGCACTGCACTCCAGTGGTGCTTTCCAGCACGGGACTTGGGATAATTTTACAAAATTTTGCTCATTTGCTAATAAACATGATCAATCAGAATGATCCCAAACTGAATGTGAGCCAGTGAGCGCCATGTCCGGAAATGATGTCAGACACATATAATTCATCCCTCATGCCTAGGCCAGTGCCAGACACATGGGAGCCACCCAGGGCATATTTATTTGATAAATGAAGGGCTGATGAGTGACTGAATGGTTTCTGGTGGTTGCTCCAAACCTTTCAATTTGATTAAACATATCCTGGTTCATTTCGCCAAGTCACGAGAGAAGCTTTAGCCACACGCCAACAGAACCCACTCCTTATTTTAAATGCCTCTCAGAGAAAGAAGGTGCTTCACACTAGACCACCCAGCTGGTCCAATTGTGCCAGAAGCTGCTTGGGTTTAAAGTGTTCAGATTTGCTAAGGAAACTGACACACAGCTCATATATAATTTCCTGATCGTAACTGATTGAAACATAAGGAAGACGAACCTAGCATTCAAATTCAGTAATCAGCCTGGTAATTGATTAAAATCAGTAGAAATCAAACCAATCAATGATTCTCTCTTATCATTAATGTTTCTATCTCTTTTATTATTCACCCAGTTTCTATTCTTTTATTATTCTTTATTCCCCATTGGCCCCTCCACTCCCTCACCCCCACCCCAGGCCTTCACTGCACTATTGTCTGTGTCCATGGGTTATGCATATATGCAGGCCCATTCTTTTATTATTCTAGAATTTCTGATAGGTCAGTTATTAGAAAACTTACGTTTTTTAATGATGAAAAGTAAAAGACCCACATACCTTAATATTGTACCGATAAACCTGTGGTTTGCATAACTTACTAGTAGGTCTAACCTGGTTTTAGTTTTCTGTGTCTAACACTTGCTTAACTATTCATTTCAACTCAATAGCGTGGGTTGAACAATTACCATGTGCCTAGCCTCAGGCTGGGTGCTTTGGGGGTAGGGGAGCTCTGTGATCCTTTTATTGGCTCAGGAAAACAAGAACATTCATCATCAACTCAAGTATTTAACAGCATGCGAGAGGCACAGTTCAGATGACATATTGGTTATGAGCATAAAGGGACCGGAATTTATTCAGTAACCACACAAAACTGGCAACACTGCTCTAAGCGGAACCTTCTTGCTCATTCCAAACAGATGCCAAAGCATTTATTGAGCGGAAGGATTGCCTAACAGTAGCTATTTAGTGTGATAATGGCGTTTGATAGTTTGGACACAAACACCATTGTCACACTCCACAGCTCTGCTAAGGAACGTCTGTGGCTGTGATGGTGTTAACTTCACCCGCACATCCATCCACCCTGGCCACCAATCACCAGGCACCTCACCAGCTTCGCGCAGTAACCTGAGCGGAGAAAAGAAGGATCAAGGATGGGGAGCATCTCGAACACCCGGAAGAGATGAAGACTCGCGGTTGTCAGGCTTATGTGTTCAAGTTGATAAAGGGATCCACATCCTTTTGTTCTATTACCACCCCCAGAGCCCCCCGCTTGTCAGGCTTATGTGTTCAAGTTGATAAAGGGATCCATGTTCTATTACCACCCCCAGAGCCTCCCGACAACAGGAAGAAAGACTCCCCATGGAAATGGGTGAGAAGTCAGTTTCCTAAAAGGGCTAAGAGAGAAAGAATCCCCAGAGGGCATCGATTTTAGCAAATGAATACTTAGTGGGTCACCATTATAATCCGTAATCATATGACTGAGTCCTCCCCAACTCTCACCTCACCATGTATCTCAACCCGTCATCAGTAAATGTGGTACATTCTGCAGTCTAAGAAGATGAACATTATTTTGCCTGGGGATATGGCTTTTAGAGGGGCTGTAAACTACTCTCGCTAGTGTCTATTGGATGCAGAGACATCCTGATTTTAAATCTTATTCACCACAGTTGTTTTCCACCATCGTAGTGGGTGAGGGATGAGGGAAGGGAATGAGGAAAATGGAGAGAGAGGGGGGAACTATTCAATTTTTCATGAAAAATAGTCATTTTCTTGCAAATGGGAGCCTCCAATGAATAAATCCCTCTGGTTTACTGGGTTTCCTGTTAAAAATGGTTTCTAACTGATATATGCACTCCTGCCCACAATGGAGAATGAGGGGAAATGAAGCATTTCACCTAATATTTTATTTTCTCCCGAATGCTGGAAAAGGAGGGAGAAGGGGGCCAGTTTATTTTTATCCCAGGAGAACCGAGTGTTAACATTTGATCAGAGCCTCGCTTGGGCCAAAAACTGGCCCATTCTCTTTTTCTTTTTTAAATTTATCTTTATTGTTGGAAATATCACAGATGTCTCCCTTTATTCCCCATTGGCCCCTCCACTCCCTCACCCCCACCCCAGGCCTTCACTGCACTATTGTCTGTGTCCATGGGTTATGCATATATGCAGGCCCATTCTTTTATGAGGAAAGGAGAGGGAGAGAGACAGAAACATCAATGATAAGAGAGAAGCATTGATTGGCTGCCTTCTGTATGCCCCTTACTAGGGATTGAGCCTGCAATCCTGACATATGCCCTTCAGAATCAAACCCAGGACCCTTCAGTCCACAGGCCAACGCTCTATCCACTGAGCCAAACCAGCTAGGGCTGCAGGCTCATTCCTAACAATGGAAAGTGAACCCTCTGCGTTTTTCAGTAAAAATGGTTATTCACACGCAGACCATAAATCACCCTTTTCAACCCAGACTGTGCACTTACAGCACACTACGAAAGCCACTCAGCTCCCAGGACTGGAGGATTGGAGCCTTTATTTATTTTTTGCTTTTCAGTTTTAGGGCGATATCATTGATATAAAACATTATATTTGTTTCGGAGGTACCACCCAGCCTCTTTTCTTTCCTTTCTGACAGTGTTGATTTGCTTATCTTCCTATTAAGTGGCTGACTTCCTTTGGCTTCTGTCCGTGCCCTGACTTGCCTTTACGGGGTGCAGCCATTGGCAGGGCCGCGGGATAGTGCCACCTGGCCCACCGTTAGACCTTCTCTCTGCTGGTGGAATGCTTCACCTGGCACTTTTGTCACGACTGACACCAAATAGAACTCCAGAGTTCCAGCTGGCCCCCAACACCACCAACAACCCTTAGATGGCCCTGGGGGTGCAGTCATGGTGGACATACTTGTGTGGTTAACTGTCTCTGGTTCTTGCCTTCCTTACTGCTCCTTCTAACAAGTTAGCCAAGCTCATCTGCTTTGTCTTTGACTGAGGGCCCTAGAACAGAAACCCCCACTTCCTGGCCACTCAAGGGACATTGTTGACCATGACCATAGGCTTCAGAAATCTCTTCGTTCATTTGGGAAAAGTCCATGGGAGGTGGACGATTTGCTAGTTAAAATGGTCCTGGTAGGACACGCTTGGAAAGCCCTGTAAGGGGTAAGGGCTTGGGCCATTTCACTTACAGTCCTATAGCAGCATCCGGCCCCTCCACTCCCCCCGGTGAGCTCTGTGTGCTCTGGCTTTCAATAATCTGCAAAAGACAGAAACCGGGAGGAAGAGTAAACAGGGAAGAAGAGAGGAAGTTAATGTGTTACAGGTAGACCTTACCAACTCCTCCCCAAATAAACCTCTATTTTTTTGGTCTAAGAAAAATATCTCAAGGAAAAAGTCCTTGAATTTGGAGAAAAATTATTTTTTCCTACAAATTTATAGAAAGATTTATCTATAAGGTTGTCCACGGAGGCATTGTTTATAATAATAAAAATTACAAACAACCTACATGTCCAAAGATAGAAGGTTAATGTATTTATGATACACCCTAGTCATTTAAGTTGATGTTAAAAAAAAAAGGTTGTTGACTTGGAAAGAGATTCAAGATATGTTATTGAATGAAGAGGTAGTTTACAAAATAATATACACAGCATGAGCCTCTTTTCGTGAAAAATGCATACATGCCAGGGGCCAAAACATCAAATAATAACCATGGTTATATCTGAATGGTAGAATTAGGGTTTCCTTTTCCCCCTCCTTTTGTTTCTCTGCATTTATTAATTTCTACAAGTCATGTAGTACTTTTGTACTGAGAAAAATAATTAGAATTTGAACAATTTGTAAGCAGGGTGTGTGTGTGTGTGTGTGTGTGTGTGTGTGTGTGTGTGTGTGCATTCCTAATAAAAATTCCTTCTTGCACAGGCTCTTCTGAAATTGTGTGGGTAGAGCTTACCTATCTATGTCTGTGCTGCTTGTCAACAAGCTTGACAAGTTAGTGCTGTGCTGAGAGATGGGCCTCAGGCTAATTTCCTAGCAAATTATTAGTGAAATACTTTATTATGCAGTACAATAATTTTATGGTATGATTGATCAATAAACACATTTATTGCATGCCTGTTATGCTCAGCCTTGTGCACAAATTTCAAACATAGCTCTAATGGCCATCATATCTTATTACTTTTTTGATTGTTTCTGCAGGCTAAACTCAGCCAACCTGCAATGCGGTTGAAACAAGCAAGCAGAATGTTTTTGCTTTTTCCAAATGCCATCCAATAATATGTCACTAACAAGAAAATGAGAAGTGGTTAATGCCAGGATCTACTTGGGTATGTATATATCCAAAGGAAGTCAGCCACTTAATAGGAAGATATATATATATTAAATATATATATTTAATTCTCATAGTTATTTCTCATTCTGCAGATATAAAAAAATATTTTGATCTGGTAATTTCAAATGTAACAACTTAAATAGTACCAGTTCATAAAAACTAGAAAGTTCATAAGGTGGTTAAGACATAATTATACCCGTTATTTCCTATAAAAAAAAAAAGAGGAATGCTTAAGGCAAAGATGTTGGACATTGATCAAGGTGATGGGTCCCAATGCCAGCACAGTTTCTACAGCTTAGAAAAGGCCTCGAGGGCTGGGGTCACTCCTCTGATCTCAGCCGCATCCCGCTCTCCCCATCTCTTCTTGTGCCTTGTTTCCTGGGATTTCCTGAGAGAGGTCAGTGCTAGGCACTCCTAAACGGCTATTACAACATTTCTGTGCAGTGTTTTGGTGTAACCTTCCCTCCCCTTCCCAACCTGGACTGAATCTCTAGACATTTCTAGTTATTGTGCTCAATTCCGAATGCAGTTTTCCCATTGAGCCCGTGGGTATGAGAAACTGGCAAGACCGAGCTTGCCCCTTTTTGTATGTCATGGGCTCTTTTTTTTCCCATTAATGGGGAGAGGGGGGTTCATCACAGAGGAAGCCTTTAAAAGCCTAGCCCTCTAGCAAATACTTCCATCTGTAACTATTTTGTGTGCATCACAGCTTTGTGCAAGATGCCTTTGATTCACAAGTACCAGGAATGTCATAAAACTCCTTATTCTCTCTTAAGTCAGATCTGGGCATGAGCAGCTTGCCTTTGCCTGCATAGTTTGTTTCCCAGGGGCCGAGGACATTCTAGGGCCAACCCCCGAGAACTGAGAAAAGAGTGCGTTGGGGATCATGAAGTGTTGTTACCTTGCAGAAAACCTGATCCGTCAGGACCAAAAACTAAATAAAGTTTTCTTTAAAAGCAAAAGCCAAATGGAGATGCTTTTTCTTAATTCCAAACCCACATTCACTATCATTTCAAATAGATGTGTGAAATGCATCCATTTGATTCTTTTGGGCTTTGTTAGAGTTTAGAATTTAGATGAAGGCAAAGAGAGTCCCTATCATAAGTCTGAGTCCTGTCACTTGGAAAGTTCATGGACATTTGAAAAAAGAAACCTCCTTGTCAGTAGGGAGCAACGCGGCATTTCTTTTCTCACTGACATTGTCCAGAAGGGAAGATCGGATGCTCCTGACCATGCTTGTCACCACCCAGGGGTGAGGAGGGGGTCACTGGGCAACTTCTCAGCTGAGTCGGCGTCTCAACAGACTCTTTGTAAGAGAATTGCTGAGGCTGGGGGGCTCCTGGGCACCATTTCTCTGCAGGTGCCCAGCTATTTCCAGTGCTGTGGATGGACCAGCCCGAGGCGGACGCTTGAACAGCTCTGACGCTGGCATTTTAGAAGCTGAAGAACAAAACCGTGAGCTTTGCCATGTGCTTGCCCAGAAGCTTGGGCAGAGGAGGGATTCCTGGTCGGATAAACCTCCTAGTTCCAGTCAGACTCCTGGTGGGACCTTCAAGCCTTGGTGCCATCGTTAAATCAGACCACCATAGAGCAGGGTGCAGCTTCATGACCGCCACGCCAAGGGCAGAAAAAAGCCCACGCCGCCTCTGGGCCCTCGGCTCCTCCCTCGCCTCCTCCTTTCCCTCTGCAGGGCGAGAAGAACACCTAGAAAAACCTCGAGGCTTTCTGAAGAAGCCACAAACATGGCAGACACATTCAAGAAGGCCGTGTTTGCCGCTGCACCTTGCTCAGGTGTCGTGTGGGGTCTTTTTAAACACCTGGTCACAGCTCACCCCCACTTTTGAAAATCGGTGAGCCTCCAGAAGAACAGCCTAACTCACACGGGGAGTTGGAGGGCTCATGGGAAGAGTGGATCTTACCTTTCAGTTGCTCGAGTCCTCAGCCCAGGGCCCCTTCTCTGGTCCAGGCTCCCTGTTCTGCTTGGGGGCGGCCGTGAGTGTGAGTCCCGGGCTTCTGTGGGTTTTAGGCCTTGTCCCTCTCCCTTTATGGAATCCAGGCTTTTAAAGTAAACAGTTCTTTCCCTTTCTGATAAGTCACATTAAATTATCGATTCAGAAGGGGGGAGGGCACGACCTTAGACCATGAAGTCACCTTTGGTCAAGCACACTAAGCAAGACCGGAAAGCCCAGCATCCCCCCTCCG